CTTCATTTTTTGAGTGTATGATAATATGATTGTATTTTCTAACGAAGAAAGAATATATTCATCAGAATGATTCATTAAGATAGAATCCTAAACGAAACGTTTCTCATAAGGAACGTTTCATATTGCTGTCGCGCAAAATTAATACGGCGGCGAAATACAGCACGCGCACAGTATTTTATTATAGCGGTTTGCAGTATGTTACAACACAATGCTGTAACAACTGTAGTCGTCATATAGTCATGTTTATGTTGATCATATCTTATTTTATATACTGTCGACATAGAGAAGAGAATATTAATAGACAATGAATACTTTTCTCACCATAATGTATGCATATACATATATATTATATTTATATTGTATACATATATATTATATTGATAAAATTAATTTCTAATCAATTGTCTTATTATCAGCATTTATGGCTGTAATTGCATAGAAAATAGAAATGTATAAAATTAATTTTTAGCAAATAACTGAAGCAAGAGACTTTTACATGTGCATTATAACGCAAATACAAGAATATTTGATAAAAAATAAAAAAATTAATAGATAAAAATAATTTTCAAATATAAATACAATATAATGTAGATCATTCGAATATAAAACAATTTCTATAAAATACGGCGTTTCTAATAAATTGACTTGTAACCACGACTTATGCGAACTTACTATAGAACAGTGCTAAGTGAAAAATACTGACAAATTATTTTCAATTATTTAATCATTTAATTGCTCTTCATAATGTAATTCCAACATAAAATAAAATGGCATTAAAATCAATCTCGAATAATTATTGTTAGCTAAAATAAAATTCATAATGAAATTGCTGTTATCTTAACAAACACACAGGAGGAAGATAAAATTCAATAAATATTTTTCAAATATAGATGCGCTATAATATAAATACATATTTATGGGATATATATAACGATAATTTTCAGAATAAAATTATATATATTTCTCACGAACTGTCAAATTATTTCCATTTTCAACATCTGCCTATCATAACTGTCATAACATATTGCCACAATCACAAAGAAAACAAAAAACAGAGATGAAAGGGATACGTGTAACCTTCAAGTAACCGACCAGCAAGTAACCGACGCAAAGTTCTTTATGGGACTGTTATTACGACAAAGCACTCGACCAAAGGAGTCTAGGTCTAGGACACAAGTCTAGGGATCCACGGCATGACTATCGAGAGGCCGCAACGTTTCGCAACTTTTCATCGTCCAAATCTCGAGTATATCAGCGATCCGCAGGAACGGGACAGGTAGATGTCTGACTCCGACAGAGAACGAGAGAAGCACGATGTCGAGGAGGGAGGGAGGAAATCGTCTCACAACTCTGAATTACTCTCACTCGCGAGAGGCCCCCGTCTCTTCTTCGTGGGGGCCCCTGCGCGTGTATCCCCCTGCTTCTCCCGGGGGTATAAATGACTCCGGTCTACCTTCCACGGAGTCACAGAACTGAGCGGCATCGCAGAAGCCGACATGAATCTTCTGATCGCGGTAAGCACGCTTCTTTTTTTTCATACTTACTTTACATTAAGGAACAGTAGAGGGGAGGAAACTTGAATAAAAAAGAAAGAAAGCGAGCAAGGAAATGTGGTGCATGGATAAGTGTGTGAGTGGAAGAGGATTAAATGTGTGTGATCGAGATCATTGGTCAGTAAGAAAAGATAAAACGATGACCGCGAATCATCGTGCCCTACATCACTGCCGTTGTCTTTAATCTCACGTGATGCGAGTTTCACATAAACCGGCAATAGACGACTGATTTGACGGTGCTGCTTTCCCTTTCGCACGCGTCTCTGATTTCTCGCGGAAAACGCAGCTTGTGACACAGTGACATAATGTAAAAATTAAAACAAAAGCGGAATCTGTGAAAGCTACTTTTTAAATAATTCGAAATTTGATCTTCTTTCAAATTTGTTACAAAAATTCTAGAGAATTTACTGACCATTGATTTTTTTCGCAATTGCACGATTACACTTGCTCTAAAAAAATTCATAATATGTAAAAAAGAATCATTTTTGATTTGTTTGATTCTAAATCCATTTTTTTATATAAAAAAACATTTTGAAAGATAATTCTTTGGAAGTCATATAAATTATGCTCTCTAATTCTCTTCTCAATAATACATATGTACTTTTATATTTTTTTATATATAACTCATTTTTTTTTCTAATTCTATATATATTTCACACAGTATATCAATTTTAGAAAACTCTGTAAAATAGAGGGAAACAATTGCGTTATTCTAAATATTTAAAGTATACAATTGTATAAAAGCGAGAATAAATACATTGATAGATAACCTTTGATCTAATCTCAAAATTCTCCAAAAGAGTGTCGATATATGATATTATAAGCTGCACATTTTCTATAAACATGAATACCGAGAAATGCATCGACAGAAATCTTCTAAAAAGACTTGCATTTCACAATAAGCGATCATTCCAAAAGTCAATATTTTTCAATCGTTGAAAAAAATATACTTTGACAGATGTCGGCTGTGTGACACTTAAAATATTATATAATTTAAAATAGAGGGATATTATTGTATTGTGTGTAATTCGTTGAAGGATTAGAGTGTAATTTATCGCACTTACCTACGTTTCGTAAACACAAAATTAAAGTAACGTATCCTCTTGTGTGTTACAGTGTATGATTGTCGGTCTGGCAGGGTTCGCCCTGGCTGAGGCGCCTGTGTCCTCCGGCTACAGTTACAGCAGACCGTCCGGCGGTGGCGGCGGCGGTAGCTTTTCCTTCGGCGGCGGTGGCGGTGGCGGTGGCGGCTACACCCAGGTGTCCTTCGGTGGTCAGAGCAGCGAAGGTGCTTCCGTGGACGGTGCCCTGCTCGAGCAGATCCGCCAGATCCTCCTGAAGGAAGAGCTGCAGTCCCAACAGGGTGGCGGATTTGGCGGCGGCGGATTAGGCGGCGGATTCGGACCTAGCTCCAGCTACGGTGCCCCGTCCGCGCAATACGGCGCTCCCCCGTCGACGCAATACGGCGTGCCCGGCTACCAGACCCGTGTCGTAGGCATCGATCTCGAGGGCATCAGGCAGGCCATCCAGGTTGCCCAATTCAACCAGGTCAGCCAAGGTCCCGGAGGTTATCCCAGCGGACCTAGCACCAGTTACGGAGCGCCCAGTAGGCCGTCCGGTAGCTACCCCGGCTACCAGACCCGTGTCGTAGGCATCGATCTCGAGGGCATCAGGCAGGCCATCCAGGTTGCCCAATTCAACCAGGTCAGCCAAGGTCCCGGAGGTTATCCCAGCGGACCTAGCACCAGTTACGGAGCGCCCAGTAGGTAGCTACGTAGCTACGGTGCACCGTATTAAGGATCATCTTGGGTTGGATGATGAGAGAGAGCGAGAGAGAATGAGAGAATGATAGAGAGAAAGAAAGAGAGAGAGAGAGAGGATGGGAGAGTTGATAATGGCACCGGCCGACAACAACGACTACTTTCCGAGATGCAGCTAAAATAAACACATAATATAAAAAGATTATAGAGAAGATCAGATATACTTGGAAAAAGGTCATAGATGTCACCAGATTCTCTCACGAATGATACATTCCTCAGGCTCTTCAACTCGGAAGGTCGTCGATATCAGGATTAGAGTATCGGATTCGCCGCAGATCGAGATTCAAAGACGAACTGGATCACCGAAACTGGCGTTACTCGCCCTCGCGGTTCCAGCGTCGTCGCGTCCCTCAACTAATGCCAGGAACTCAGCTAGAGGACACGTCAGACGGAAACGTGTGCGAAGAAAAGCGCAGATGGCGATCCGCGGGATGGCATCTGGTCCGTTGAGGATCAAATAGTCGTCGCTTCAACGGGTCAAGGTCTCCCGGGATCCGCCGGAAAGGAACGCACCGTCTCCAAGCAGCATCTCTTCCGGGCCCCTGACTTGTCGGGAATCCAACGGTCGTCGCTTCGACAAGACAAAGGGTCCGCGAGAATGTGAATGTGGCCAGTTTTTTTTCTTTTCTTTCGGGAAAGACTCGGTCGCTTGAAATCTTGAGCGCAGTCGGCACGGTGCCGAAGTCTATCGTACCAAAATCGCATCAATCGTCGCGGTCATCGATGTCAGTTGCGCGAGGATCAGTGATATCGTAAGGAGGCAGGCGCAATCGCTGACACAGACACACTTCACACATTCCCGGCAATCGTCGGGACACTCATAGAACAAAGAAAGAGGAGAAGGAGGAGGCCGACATGCCGAAGACGTGATTGGCGCAATTAGCGCCTTGTAAATAAAATTCTACACATGATCGCTATATCGCGGCGTCCGCTGCGTAATTCGTTTCGGCTCTTCCGGCTCAAAGATCGGTTCATCAATATGATACGATCAAAGACCTTGAGGATATCAAAAGCTGATAATGTCTCAAGCGATAGATCCAGTTGAGGAGGATCTTCGAACCGAAGGCTGAGAGAATCGTGGAAAAAAATATCCGAAGAGTATAAGGTCGATTTCGCGTAGAGTAACCGACCTCTATTTGTCCGCGATAAGATTCACTGAGGATCACTGTAAACAGAAGAGCGAACCGGATTACAGAACGGACGCCGCCGTGTCGGGCGACACGTACACGCGAAGCTACGAATACATATTATTTTTTTAATACATTTTAACGCTCTT